ATATTATATTATATTGTATTGTATTTTATATATATATATATATATCACAGTAGGTGGTTGACGGGAACTCGGGGAATTCGCTTGGTAAGCTCCATAAAGGACGAAACCGATCCTGGGCTGTTTACAAATTTTCCGCAACCTTTTTCCCCAATAAAGTGTCCTTTAATCCGCGGGGTGTAAACAGGCTGCTGCGTAAATGAAGTTGCAGATACGGTCGCGGAGATTAAAACCGTGCTCAATAGCTTTGTGTGGCTAACTGCGATTAACAGGGCTTTGTATGTTGGCGGGCGTTTTGGTTTCTGGTCACGGCACCTGATTTGCCGCGGTTGACTGCGAGTGAAAAATACGCCAAGTTACGAGTTGACCTCCGACCTTTTGCAGTTTTATTCTGCTGCCAGTTTAAGGATGAACCGTGCCTGGTGTCAGTCGGTCAGTCGCGTCATGTCCTTACTCATCAGAACCCAGCGCCGTATACACAGCTCTGGAACAAAATATCTGGCTTTCGTGGTTTTCATCACGTGACCTTATTTATCTGCTGGCTGTTACACTTTGTTGCTAACGCATGCTTGTCGCGCGTCTCAATCTAGGTTGGTGTCGAGCATCTAGTTGAAAGCTAGACCCTGGAGACAGTCGTGACCGTCTGACGATCGATTCTGCCGCAGGATAGCGCTCGGAAATAATTCATTTTGAAAGATTTCTGGTCCGAATTCATTCTACTACTCGGAGCTGCAGGCGACACCACGTGATGCCACTTAATTAAGTCACCCGTTCAACCCAGATGAGTCACACGGGAAAGCTGAGACTGTGCATCCCTTTGTCCATCTCCTTAGGACTGACTGGTCATCGAACCGGCCTGGTCACCTCACTTCAAGTATTGTTCCGCAACGTATAAGTGGAGTACTAAAAAGGCTAGCTTTGACCATGTGCACAAGAACTGTTCGTATACCCTAGCAATGATCAAGTGATGTGCGGAAATTCACCAATCAGTGTCTGTTCAACATTGTTACTGATATTTAACTTAAATAACTCGCATATCTCGTATCCGTGACTGCAGAGAATATCACAGCCTGTTTTCTATCAGTTCTGACTCTCAAGAGTAGTGTCCTCACTCTCCCAGTCAAATATCAACGCTCATATGGTTCGAAAAGCTGGTCGGGGAGTTTTCAGCCTCCTTGTGAAGAGTGTATTACGTCTTTACTGGTTATCATCTGTTTCGAATCACACGTTGGTGAGAGCTAATCACATGGTTGATCAGCCTTGAACCACCGGTTGAAAAGCTGTCGGTTTGAAACTCTGCGGAGTTTCGTGAGAGGCGCACTGCTGATGATTCTCAATATGGATGAAACAGCTCTAGAGCTCTTCTTGGGTTTTCGTCACAGATTGGTCCCACTTACAGGAGAAAATTTCCATGGGAGATCTTCGTGATCAACCAGTGGTCTGTCTTGATTGTAGAACAGCACTGAAGAAATAAGAAAATCGATTTCTAGTGAAATGACGACAAGAAATGCTCGAACTAATCATGATTTGATGGCATTTCGAGGTAAAATGGACAAGTGAAAGAGAACATGTGCTGAAAAAGTGAGTGAAAGAGAACATGTGCTGAAATGATGACTACTCGTTCAGTTTAAAACATCTTCTAGTTGATTGGAAACGCTGAACGTCCTTGGTGGGACCTGGCCCTGGGGCCGGTCAAGTGATCTTTTGGTTTGCAGCTAAGAAGAGGAATGACCAAAGGAACGAAACGTGTTGGCTGTGTTACCTGAAAATTGGTGCCCTTCTATGTTGGTAATGTGTTGGAATATTGGTAGCTCGGGTGTATTGGTTGGTAATTGATCAGGTAGCTGTTGCTCTGTTCACCGAGCTTGGCAATTGATTTNGTCTCTTGGTGGCGAGCTTATGTTCGGTGATTCTGGTTGACAGTTTCCTCCCTGTTTGTCCCACGTAGTGTTTTTCACAATCATTGCAAATCAATTGCCAAGCTCGGCGAACAGAGCAACAGCCACCTGATCAATTACCAGCCCTTCTATGTATTTAAACAAGCGCTCAGCATGACCGTCGATGACATTCCACAAGCCTCGAGTGTAAATTGCAGGCAACCTAGGTCGTTTCGATGAAGCAGGGCACAAAGAACGCTACTGAGCAAAGGTAGCGGAAATCGATGATCACACTGTTTGCCTGATCTGGAAATAGAATTTGTGATATCACTGTCTTGGAACTATGTTGCTGGGACGATTACGCAATTGAAGTGAGGATTTCTATCCTAATAACAGTTTAACTGCAGAAAAAATGTCTGATTGGAGCGATGGCCTATAAAATTTTCAATTAATATGTTGGCCGACAGCAGCCCTGACGTCCTGCCAGCTACCAGTCAATGAGTTTTTGTTAGGATCAATGGATAGAGTGCGATTTTATTGACCGGAAAGTCCAGGGTTCGAACCCGACCTCTGCCTCTCGACTTCTCCTGTCTAGGCTTGTGCAACCTGGCAGTATCTCAGCTCTCGTGTTTCCTTTGGGTGACATGGCAGTCAGGCGTTGAGGATCGTTGAGTCGCTGGTCATGTGAAACACCTGGTGAAATTGAAGAATCATGACAATCTGATTAGTAGCCACTATGCAATGAGGATATCTGCTTGAATGGTGGCAGACCAACCGAGTAAGCTAACAACTAGTATTGTCCGAGAGACAATTTTACGTCTGTTTAGGGTGTGGCATGAAAACAAATCTATTTGTGCTGAATTGTCGTTGGCCGTCTCGGCTGGTAATGATTAGTAGCGCGAATCCTAACCCAAAATGGTTCACGTTTGTGATTGATTTTATTTTTGAAAAAAGTGCAAGTTTCTCGAAGCCAATTGTTCATCCGTTAGCCCGTTTCCGGGTCCCGATTCGTAGCTAGTCCATGACCTTGACCGCCAAATTTTTGCACACATCGGACGAGAATGACTGCAGTCGATCGATCAGAGGTTTACCGCGCATTTTAACTTATTTTCTGCGGCTGATGATAGCACAAAAACCTGGCTATAGATTCACGGTCTAATCGGTACTTTTCCCCCACCCCATCCCCGTACTGAGGACATATCGACGAAACGTTTGCAAGCCAGGTGCCAAGCACTACATACTCGCCCATGACCTTGGCCGCCAAATTTTTGCACACATCGGACGAGAATGACTGCAGTCGATCGATCAGAGGTTTACCGCGCATTTTAACTTATTTTCTGCGGCTGATGATAGCACAAAAACCTGGCTATAGATTCACGGTCTAATCGGTACTTTTCCCCCACCCCATCCCCGTACTGAGGATATATCGACGAAACGTTTGCAAGCCAGGTGCCAAGCACTGCAAACATACTCGCTCTCGAGAAGGCTCAGTGGTAAAGGCGCGGGCGTAATGACAAGAAGGTCCGTGGTTCGAACCCACGTCTACTCCTGTCTAGGCTTGGGCAATCTGGCAGTGTCTGGGCCCTCGTGTGGCGCGGCAGCTAGGCATCGAGAGGGTGTTACAGATGGACCATTTCTTTTTACAGCTGTCACTTATTCTCCGAAGTTAACGTACTGGCCAGTTTCACAGTTAGCTCTGATTAGAAAAATTCAGCTGGAAAATTCAATGCACAATGTTGCTGTTCCCCACAACGATCACCGGTTTAGCTGTGGTTGAACTGTCAAATGCACCGAGAGAATTCATCGGAAATTCAGTGAACGCATCGCTCATCATCATCATGATCATGATCATCATCATCATCATCCGAATCATCATCATCATCATCCGAATCATCATCATCATCCGAATCATCATCATCATCATCATCATCATCATCATCATCACCATCGTCGTCATTGACAGCATGACATCAGTGTTCAGCACCTTTCCTCACTGCCATACAACCATGATTTATTTGAAAGCCTTATTGTAAAGAAAAGAGTAAAGATAAACGGAGAAAGAGCTTAGTGCCAGCTTATCACAATCATTCCGAGGTGCTTATACCTCCAGACACTCACTCAGGCGATCTGGATAGAAACTGACAACAAGAACGCCACTGACATCGGTTAGAAGCCATATCTTGTAGTGTCTCCAACCAGGCACAGTCAGGATCACGCGGTCCCCATCCTGGAAGGCGAGTAGCACCGAGCGTTGCACTCAAGCGTTTCGTGATCTCTTCCATACTCCTCTGCCAAGTCAAGGGTTGGCCAACTCTCTGTTTACGCCACTCTGAGTTGGGCATGGAAAACAGCACTCTCTTCGGCAAACGATGGTTCGGCATACAAAACACATGTCCCAACCAACGCAGCTTCTGGTGCTGGACACATTCTTCAATGGAAGTACCCGTTACACGCATCGCCCAACTCTGACCAAATTACATTCCACAGATGAATGCGCAGTCAGCTGATCCCCTGAAAGCTAACCGCACTTGGGCCACCGCACTGACCTGTGAGCACCGTTCACTATTCTGTTGCATAACGTTAAACCACGCATATATGTTAACGCATTTCGGCCTGGTGCTCGCGGAACGCCCTCGCTCAATGTGGTGTTGAGAATGACCTTACTTGATACACACTGCCCTTTCATTGCGTACTTCTACGTTTTGGTTAACAGTGATCATAGTCAACAATGCTATTGACTGTTGTTTTTACCATGTGTACGTGTACTTGAGGAGCGCTACGGACTGAATGGTGAATGGAGTCCTTAGACAAACTTGTTTTCCCCGTCCATTTCAGGATCTATCAATTGCCCTGGTAAAATTGATTCAGAGACATTTGGACCACATGAAAACACCCGGCCCGTTGTGGAATTTACATGACGGGCAGAGATGAAGTGAATTTCACGTGACGGAGAGACAGTGTACGCCGAGGCTCAGTCAGTAGGCCGGACTTGAAGTGAGTTTGTTGCAACAGGCTGCTTCATATTTCATTCAATACATCAATTGAGATTTAACTGAACAAGATCGTCAAAAACAGGAGATTCAGGTGAATTCAGCCGAATTCGTGTGCTAGTTAGTGTATTCTGTCTACTTTAGTTTCATGTAGAACGGAACATTGGGAGAAACTCGAGGACTGCGCCTACCTGATAAACCCAAGAGGAACGGAAGCGGCACTTGTGGGTTGTTCTTGGGTTTTCAGTGACCTCTTGAGTAGTGTATTGTGTTTGGAAAATGTATTCCGATATCTAAAACAGGTCTCCACCCATGTTACAACTTCGTGTGGTCAATTTCAACTCCTGCGATGTTGGCTCGACAGTTTTCTACCCTAAACCAACATGACATGGATGTTCAATAAAAAACATATTTTTTTCAGAATCTAATCGTTCGTCATCAGTATCAATGGGTCACGATACTATTTTGCTGTTTGCCGGACCAATGAGAACACATAAAGTTGTAACATTTCTTGAGATGCACACATACTACTTGTGAGACTACTTAAAACCCTAGGATATTTCACTGCTGATTCTGTCCTCCTTCGAGGCTGGCAAGTTAGATGCAGTTCCCTAGTTGTTATATCTGCTGATTCGCCAATCTGCTGCTGACCCGCTCCAGTGCCCAGTGCCTGAAAAAAAATCACAGCTATATTCCGAACAAGCGGGTGCGAGAGCAAAAGTTACGACGGCACCAGGCTACTTAAAGTGGACTTTCTGACATTGATCCAGGCTGTCTGATAGGCGTTAGTGAACACCCATCAACATCGATCATGCCTCTATGAAAGGCCTGAACGCTGATCACATTCGGTCGTGCTTCTGTGGCGTGCATGAACACTCATCAGCTTTTGTTTAATTGATTGAAGGATCGATTGGTCTGGATGCTTGCCAGCCTTCCTCCTAAGATTTTGGTGGAGCAGTAGGTTCTGGGTGTTCTGAAGTTGCTTTCAAGAATCTGACCTTCCTGATACTAGTCATACCAAGTGAGTGTATTCCACCAAAGCCGCATGTTTTCCGCATTTATCATCAGTCCAAGCAACTGATGGAAGGCTGTAGCCGCCGCTCGATTGCCCGCACTTATAAAGTCTTCGGCGGTGTGCAGATTTCATGGTCGTTACGTTTACCTGACCGTCACAACCTTGCAGTTCACTTCATACGTTTGACAGAGACCACAAACTAAACCGGGAACTATCAGCGTGACTGACTGTTCGTTGCTGTCTTTCAGAAATTCAATTTATTTTTCCACCTGGAATCTAACACCGTCCGGTAAACTGAAGGTGCGCATCCAAATGCCATGTTTCCCAAGTGATAATTAACTTAGCGGTCAATCAACCAGCCCGAAGGGACTTTCCAAAATACAGGTCATTCACAGTGCGTTGGCGGGGTGTTGGTGAGACAAAACTTTGGCGGCTTACATTCGTTTGTTTGTATGGGGTTTTTTTTGGGGGGGCTACTGAATTAGAGANGTCCGAAGTGCGGACCAGCGAAGTGACTCAGGTCACTTGTGTTTTCGTGAGTTTCACGCTGAAGTTAAATTGAAAGTAAGATCAATAAAAACGGTTAATTTTACATCATGTTCTCACTCTTGAGAGCTCCTCACTATGGGCACTTTCTTTGAGTTTAAGGTCCGAAGCGGGTCGTTGACATTGGAAGCAAACTCGAAAAAAATCCTGGATTTTGTTCGACGAATACTCTCAACTGCGCACAAATTCGGTTTTGACAGCCGGATCACTTGAATCCAACTGAATCGTTCGTTTATCAAGGTCCGTACCAAGTGAAGCAAGCGGCGGCCTGGTGCAGCACGCTCAGTTGAAGCGGGCCATCATAAACGAGTGTTTCCGTTCGAATTCAGCTGAGTCTTTCGTTAAAACCAGGTTAGTGTGCCAAGAAAGTTACGACTCGGATTCAAGTCGAGCACACGGTTGACGGAAACTCACTGGATGAGCTTACTCAATGGGCTCCCAGAAGGACGGGCAAAAACGGTCATACAGTGTCCAACAGTAATGTTCGGACAGTTCCTTTTTATACCGACCGTTTAGGTGAGTGATTGAGTGAAGTAGGTACGAGCAATGTATATTTTTGTAATGCACTACTCATAAGGTTGCTGAAAACTCCTCGATAGCCCACGACCGGTTTCGCCCTTTTTGGACTTATCAGGTAGGCGCAGTTCCCGAGTTTCCGTCAACTCATGTTCTACTTGAAACCAAATTGCACAAACTTAGCGAATATACACTCATTTGCAAACTAATTTGGATTTTTCGAGAGACCCACCTGGAACCCAGCTGAATCTCTCGGTTTTTTTTCAGGGTTCCAGATGAGCCTCTCCAGAAACCAAATTAGTTTGCAAATGAGTGTATATTCGTTTGGTACGAGCAATTTTCATAAGCGCACCCAATAATCTCGAGCTATCTAGACGTAACCCACTACTGATACAGTTGCTGAAAACGCTTGAACAGTTCATGACCGTTCTTGCCCGCCCAACCTTGAGCTTATCGGGTAAGCTCATCTGCCGAGTTTCTGTCAACCGTATGGTCGAATTGAACTCAAATCGGACAGAATTAAACACACACCCTCATCTGCAGCACGTTTAGTTGAAGTAGAACATCATAAAGAAGTCTTCTGTCAAAACCAAATTTCTATGCAAATGAGACTGTTTGGTAAATCCCGAGATGTTCTACCCGGGACGAAGTTGAAAGCCAAAGAGAACTGAGCAGCTAACCTGGATAACTGACAGCTGCTCTCTCGGTGGTGGTGGGGGGAAGTCTCAAAGCAACTCTTCAAAAGACTGACCACATGTGATCTGTACTCAGAGATAACATGTCCTGAGTGGGACAGAGATGTTGGAAGCCTTTATTTAACGCCGAACACCTAACGTTGACCTGTCATGATACTGGATTAGTTGGGCAACTAGCCATCAGACAGCTTGTCTTCAGACGATCACTATGGTCTAATGGGGGGGGGGCGAGATGGCTGAAGTGGTTAGAGCGCGAATTTACTGAACGGAAGGTCCGTGGTTCGAACCCGACCTCTGCCTCTCGACTTCCTCTGTCTAGGCTTGGGTGACCTAATAGTATCCCAGCCCTCTTGCAACCTTCGGGTGGCATGGCAGTTAGGCACTGAAAGAGTGCTGCAGCTGAACAATTCCTTTGCATTCTGTCTATGGTCTAATGGTTTTTAAAGACTGTACAGTGAAAAATCGATAATCTATGTTGGCTTGTGGAATCTTTGAGAATGACTTATGGTCATTCATTGATAAAATGCTACTTCTAAAATGGATATGAATCGGGGTGTATATTTTCGTAATTCGCTACTCATTAGGTTGCTGAAAATTCGTCGACAGCCCACGTCAGCAACCTTATGAGTAGTGCATTACGTGATATCGCGATCTCTCGAATATCGTAGCGACTGAAAAATGAGGCAGCCTGTTGCAGCACATACAGTTCCCTGAGGATATCACAACCAAGAGATTCAGCTAGGTTTCTGATGAGTCTCTCGCAAAACCAAATGAATTTGCAAATGAGTGTACATTCGCTAATTTCGTACAACTTGGTTTCAAGTAGAACTTAAGGTTGACGGAAACTCGGGGACTGCGCCTACCTGATGAGCCCCAAGAAGGGCGAAACCGGTCGTGGGCTGTCGACAAATTTTCAGCAACCTTATGCGTAGTACATTACAAAGATATACATGTATCGCACTGGATACAAGACTCTGTATTGCCAGTACGCAAATTCTCCTTCTCTGGTGTGCTTTTCCACCAATCACGTCCTACCGGAATCACTTTGTTTTCTTTCGGAGAGTCACATGATCGCATGAATGATCGAATGATTTCGGTTTTTTCTTCACATAAGGAAGCTCTGCTTTGAGCGTAGTTGGTGGAGATCTTGAATGTTAACATTCCTCCGTCGATACCTTCCTACTGTGTTGTGCGGATGAGTTAAGTGGACCCACTGTCGACATTCCCAAGTGGTGCAGAAAAATCGGCGAATGTTTTTGGTGTGTGTTTTGGAAACTCTTGAAGTGACTGAGTACAGTACGCGCTGCATATGATAAAGCAATGAATAACCAGAGTACTACAAGCCCACCTTTTTCGAAAGAACTTTGAATTGCATAATGAACAAGGAAGATCGAAAAGGAACGTATAAGTTGAACCAGAAGTTTCATAACTCCCAAGAAACGGAATTCTTTGTGGCATTTACACTGGATCGATTGAGTGACGGTCACTCCAACACGAAGGACCTAGCTACTCATTTTGTCGACAGAGAGGTGGATGTATTAGACTGATTGTATTCTGTTCAACGGCATTGGGACTCAGCTGATTAGCCGCTTTCGATGGATTGGCTGGAACCCGGTAAATGGGCAATAAACGGGAGAGATCTAACCACTGGCACCAAGACAGTCATCATCATCATCGTCATCATCATCGTTATCGTCATCATCACCATCATCATC